GCTCACTGGCAGGGCGCGGGCGGCTCACAAGCGCTAGGGCGGGCGCCGGGCGCTAGGGCGGGCGCCGGGCGCTAGGGCGGGCGCCGGGCGCTAGGGCTGGCGATAGGGCGGGCGCTAGGGCGGGCGCCAGGGCGGGCGCTAGGGCGCAAGGGCGGGCGCTAGGGTGGGCGCTAGGGCTCTAGGGCAGGAAAAAAAAATTCGAAGTGGTGGGCCCTAAGCAAAGTCCCCACAGGGGAACCTGCTCGATACCATGAGAAGAAGTAAACGAGAGAATGAGTGAACTATGAACGAGGTGAGTATAAATAGGAAACCCTAATTGGGTTGTACCCCCTATGGGATACCCCACTATAGCCTACACAAATAAGTAAGCTATAATGTTCTGACACCCGCACGACTTGGTCAACCGCGCTCCAGCAGAGCAAAGTCGCGGCTTGCCAACGTTGCAAGTCCATGGTGTGCCAATGCTGCAACAAGTCGGTTGCACAGCGTTGCACCCGCAGAACAACGGTGCACCTGCTTCGCAGGTGTGCAAAGCTGGTTGGTGCTCCACGCCTTGTCATGAGCACAGCGCAGACGCTTGGCAGACTCCACGCCATCGATTGCGCCCACCAGCCACATCGCCATCGGAATACCACTTCCGAGGTCGTCCTCGCAGAACCACCCCCGGCGACCTTCGCACGCTTCCGCAGAAGTCCGTCGCCTGGGTATCCCGGTCGACCGGGCAAACACACTTGGTCGACTAGCTCGGTCGGCCGCCGGCTGAATAAGCCCGGCGTCCTCCTACTCGATAGCCGCTTTGCGTCCCCAGTCTCCCCTGTCGATGTCGACGTCGGCCCCTCCTTCGTCGACCACATCGTCCTGGCCGACCACCAGGTCGACAACACTCCTGGTCGACCAACACCTGGTCGACCACCAATCTGGTCAGCCGGCCACCCAAGTCGGCTGCCCCAAGTCGGCGTCGCCAAGTCGACGCCCGTGCAGTAGCCCCTCGTGCATGTCGACCAGCCAAGTCGACCAGCTCGCTCACTTCTGCAGGTCGGCTGCTCCCCTCATACCCGACCACGAAGTCGGCTCAGCCCAAGCGAGGACGGGGCCACACCCAACTCGCGTTGACATTACACACCACTTACGACTCTTGCTGCACTTGCTCCATGCCCTTCTCTCCGTCCTGGATTGACCCTTTTCTCTTCGTCCGCTCTGGCTCCACACCCTTCCACATATTTGTTTACGTCGACGACCTCATCTTTGCTACCGACAGAGATGCACTGGACTCGGTGAAGGCCGAACTACAGACGAGACACACTTGCACTGACATGGGTGAGTTGCATCGCTATCTTGGCATTCAGATCACCGGAGACAAAGCAGTGTGCAATATCACACTGTCGCACTCACACATGGTGCAACAGATCCTCGAGCGGATTGACATTCGCTTCACTTCTCCACAGGCCACCCCACTCGCTGTTGACCATGAATTCACAGCTCTTGTTCTTGACGAGTCTGCTAAGCCTAGTGGTCAATACGTCGAGCTGGTGGGCTGTCTCATGTACTTGATAACTTGTACTTGTCCAGACCTTGCCTACCCTCTTAGCATCCTAGCTTGCTTTGTTGCACCAGGGAAATACCGTGCTGCCACTGGACAGCCGCTAAGAGGGTTGTGTAATATGTGGCAAGCACACCAGGCATGGGGCTTGTTCTTAGAGGGAGACATGCTGCCAGCCTCACCAAGCACACTGACGCATCGTGGGCGGACGACGCAGAGATTCGGAGTCCTTCATGGGGCTAATGTTTCAGTCTTGGCTCTGTAGCTGTCTCGTGGAGGTAGCTCCCCTTTTCCCTATTTTCTGACCCTTCACCTCCTCCTTTAATCCTTAGGCATAGTAGTTACGCAGCACAGATGAAGATTTATGGAGCGACCGCACATCCTTGACGAACCCCCTTTTCCACTTCTGCTTTTGCACCCAACCAGCCGCTGATCAGGAGCCACGTCCCTGGGTCAGTATGGAGGCCTTTCATCAATTCCAAATCCTCCTCCAAAAAGCCCATGTTTGTTAGCGTTCCGAAGAGAAAAATTTTGTAGACCGAGTCATACGCCTTCTAGAAACCAACAAACAGTAGGTTCCAATCTTCATTCCTTGCTACGGCCACATCAATGGCGTTCGCCACTATCCTGACTGCATCCTCCAGTTTCCTCCTAGGTAGAAGCCATATTGATGTTATGATTACTACCAGCAAGACCGTCTTGATTCTGATTACGAGGATCTTTGCGATAATCTTGTACGTTGCACTCAGCAGGGTGGTTGGTTGATAAAATCTCCTGTCTGTTTTTGTCCCCCTTCTTGTGCAGGAGAATCGTAATCGCTGTCGTAAGCTGCTGCAAGAGGACTGCCGTCCGCTCGAATGACCTTGAAAGCTTAAAATTCTAGGCCCCAACATTTCCCATTTCTCCTCCAATAGTTCCTTGGGAAGTCCGTCAGCACCTAGCACTTTTCCTTAAGGCAGCTGCCTGATAGCCACTAAGGTCTCTTTGTCTGTCCACGGAGCCTTTAGCATCTCCTCCTTTTCACCTAGCCGCTTATCTGGACCTATCATCCTCCAACTCCTGCAAATTGAACGAATCAGTGAAGAGTTGAAGTTGCTATGAGTACCTCCTCACTCCTGTGTACTACACGCCTTTCAAAAGGACTTTACCGATCTCCATTTTTGCTTTCCACATCGCAATCCCTCCCGTCACCAATTTGGACGGTATTTCCCCATTCATTTTTGCCTTAACGTCTGCCATCGTCTACAACTTGCCTCTCTGCCTGTCCTGGTACATTTTTGTCATCAATTCATGTTTCACCAAGCTTTTGTAACACTTGCTGTCACATGCACCATGCTTCAGCAGCTCCACCGTTTTTTTCCAAAGCTGCCCTTGTTTTTGTAATCCTGTTCCTTTCTTCCCTCGTGTATGATTGTATGCTTGTCTGCAGTTTGGTCAGTGGATCCGGTAGATTAAGGTGCTGATCTCTTAACTCCCCTGCGCCACTTGGATAAGCCTCCTCACTCCTGGTTTCTTAGCTTGCAAGGCATGCATCCTCCACATACTCGGCCCTTTGCAGCTACCTGACCCTATACAGTGGAGATCGAAAACCTGTGGTTAGAGATTCCAAGTGGCGTGAAGGAGTGCTAGGTGTCTACAACTCTGCTGAGCAGTTACTTGGACACCAGCGCTATATCAATACGAGAGGTGGCTCCACCGAGTGCGAGTAGAAGGTTTATTCATTTCATTGAAGGGAGTGAAAGGCAACATGTAGGTCCAGTTATGCTTAGACAAATAGTAGCTGCTGGTTCTCTTTGAAGTCCCCACTCTGGATTACTTGTCCAGCAGTGGATCTGCGATCGGGTTGAGATCACAAATCAGAAGCGTGCGACCCACTGGTGCCAGAATTCTGACAAAGCCACCTCTGGGTATCGCCTGAACGAGTGGGTAAGCCGCCAGGATCTGCCTTTTCGTATCCCCCCATTCCACTGTCACTACCAGTAATCTTCAAGAGGTGTGATTTTGCATATCTCCAAAAGTTATCCCTCGCAGGAAGCTGCGAATCTCCGCCCCTCTTGCTATTTCTGCTGGGGTTATTGCTGTGAAGGCCATTGGTTTTAGCTGAGTCCAGAAGTTATGATCTGTTGTAAGCCTGGTGTAAGTGAATACTAGTACATGTGTGTGCAGATGTTGCTCGCGTGCCCTCGTGCTCCCTAAGCCATTGATGTTCCATGTGATGATGACAAACTTGTTCCTTTTTTCCATTGAACCACTACAGCAAACCCCATATCAAAGACTACTACAGCTAAGAAAGTTACTTTGATTGAAAAACACATGACATTCGTCCTAAATGCTGCTAACTCATCTTCCGTACTTGCTATAGCACTCCCCTGACCTATGTTTCAGTAGGATACTTGACGAACTCCTTCAAAGAGGCCAGACCCATGCCTCTTTTGCTGTTGCGCATTGCAGCACCTGGTTTGGTGAGGCTGGACTTGTGGCGAAGCGAGGCCGCGTGAACAGCTACTTGCTCGAAGTTGGTGCCCTTTGCCTTTCCGCAAGCAGTAACGACACACACCCAGTCTTTTCTGGAACCACTGGTCGAGGTAAGGACAACGGCTAGGTCCTAAATGAGACCCTTCAAGACATTTGTTACTTTTAGAGAGGCCGGTGTGGGGGAGGGTGGGGAGACCAGATTGGATCGTCAGTAATTAAGGCTGGTAAGGAAGGCAGGTAAGAAGAGGCGATATTGACAGCAGCACCGTTAATCTCATGGACCTTTTTAACTGTAAGGTTTCATTTGCCAGTGTTCGCATGATGGACAGTGATTTACTCATCATGGTATCTTGTCACGTACTGGCCTCTGCAGTACTCGCAAGAAAGGGATGGGTAGTGAATCATCTTCTTCCCATACTTGGTAGGATCCCGAACAGCAAAATGCCAGCGGTTATTGTCGCTTGCATGAGGGGATACAAACCCACAAATCAAACATGTGTCCATCCCAGTGACTCGGTCTTGCATGGGTTCGCTGTGAAATTCGTACCCTGCGCTGAAGGCATTCCTCTCCTTCCTAACAAACTTCTCCACCACCAATAGGCTTCGGACCACTTGAGGATACTATTCCGCCGGGACATTATTGAGTATCACCTCCACAGTAGCAGGATGCAACGCATGTTCTTGAATGACTGTAGTATTCGCTGGATGCTGCCAATTCAGTTGTAGATTCTTGCCATTGCAGCAGCATGTTAAATGGAGCAAAGCCAAAGAAAGTTGGCGTCGCTCTCGCATAGGTGACTTGCAGCTGGCTGTATCGGGGCTTGGAAGTGTAGGTTGGCTGCTGCACTTGAAGCTTAGTCGTGGTTAGTATGTCCGGTGACAAAGCAACTTTCCAGATCTCAAGGTGAGCAAGCACAATTGCTTGGGTCTTGGAGACCTCAGCAATAAATATAAAAGTGATAAGCAGTACGAATAAGAATTCGATCTAGGCAGGGATGATGCCACCCGTTGTGGGATCCACCTCATTGTCGTAGTCATCACCGAAGTCATCGTTATCAATTGCGTCCTGCTCCTCCCGATAGGTGCGGATCAACCAACGTTGCAGAGCCAGCCGGAGCATTCACGTGCTAACCATTACTCCCATCTACATTCCATCCTTAAGCCTGTTGATTTTCAATGCGGAAAAGCAGTTCGCCAGCGACTCCAAGCAGTAGCGGTAGGATCTGATGTTCTGTTGTGCATATCCAAAGGAGTAGAATGAGCCGAGACCAAGGGACTTCTTTTTTTTTTTCAGGCGGAAAGCTTCCAGCAATGCTAGGAGGATCACCACCATCAGATAAAGAACCCGATGAACTGGCGAGGGATGCAAGAGACGAAAGCTTTTTGGAATACATGATAAGGCTTTAATTTCTATTTGCTGGAGGAATGATGGAACTTAACAGTCTTGTCGTCGATCAAATAGGAGTTTCCGTCAGATAAAAAAGGTGATCTCGTAGAATCCTGGATAAAAAACCACATATTCTAAGGCCTTGATAATTGCAGAGCTTTGAGAGACCGAGCCAAAGTCGAGGCCTGGTGAAACCTTGGTGACTGGATTTCCCTAGAATTACATAAACAACATCTGTGTTCCCATTGTGAACATGTATTTGATATTTGATTATAACGCTTGGAAAGAAGAATCCACTAACTACAGAAAATCCAAGTCCAGGCAAGAAACTGACACACATTAGGATTGTAATGTGAGAATATATCTGTAACTGCCTGTAGCTGTAGTTAGTGTAGTTATTATAAACTTTGTTTGGTGGTGCACCTTCTTTGTTTCCTTTGCTATATGTTCTTGCAAACCTATAGTGAAGCCACTCTTTCTCCTTTCCAACTTTCTCGACACTCTCCTCAACCCTAAACTCGATCTCTAAGAACCTAACTAAACTATGGCTCCTAAGCCCACCTATGCTTAGTATCTCAACATGGTTTCAGAGCACATATGCTCCTGGCCTTGCTCGTCGTGACGCCACTGCGGGACCCGCGGGGCGTCGCCACTGCTCGTCGCGGCACCTCCTGGACGCCGCTCCTGCTCGTCGCGGCGCCCCTGGGGCATCGCCCCTACTCGTAGCGGCACCCCTTGGGCGCCGTTCCTACTCGTCGCGGCGCCCTCCCCCGTGGCCACCGCCTCTGCCTCACCTGCGCTCGCCCCAGCGTTGCAGCCGCGCGCGGGCCTACCTTGCACCAGCGCCGCCCCTGAAGCAGGCGCCCCTGGACCTCAGCAGCCGCTCTTGGACCTCAGCAGCCGCCCTTGGACCCCACGAGCTGCCCCAGCAGCAGCCCACGGCGCCGACCCTACAGCTGTATGCACCGCCGCTCCTGGACTCGGTACGGCTGCCTGCCTGTGCTGCCTGTTGCTGCCTGTTGCTGCCCGTGCCTGTGCTGCCCATTGCCGCCCGTTGCTGCCTGTGCCTGTGCTGCCTGTTGCCGCCCGTTGCTGCCCGTGCCTGTGCTGCCTGTTGCTGCCCGTGCCTGTGCTGCCCGTTGCCGCCCGTTGCTGCCCGTGCCTGTGCTGCCTGTTGCCGCCCGTTGCTGCCCGTGCCTGTGCTGCCTGTTGCTGCCCGTGCCTGTGCTGCTTGTTGCCGCCCGTTGCTGCCTGTGCCTGTGCTGCCCGTTGCTGCCTGCTGCTGCCCGTGCCTGTGCTGCCCGTTGCTGCCCGTGCCTGTGCTGCCTGTTGCCGCCCGTTGCTGCCCGAGCCTGTGCTGCCTGTTGCTGCCTGTTGCTGCCTGTTGCTGCCCGTGCTTGTGCTGCCCGTTGCCGCCCGTTGCTGCCTGTGCCTGTGCTGCCCGTTGCCGCCCATTGCTGCCCGAGCCTGTGCTGCCCGTTGCCGCCCGTTGCTGCCCGTGCCTGTGCTGCCCGTTGCCGCCCGTTGCTGCCCGTGCCTGTGCTGCCCGCTGCCGCCCGTTGCTGCCCACGCTTGTGCTGCCTGTTGCCGCCCGTTGCTGCCCATGCCTGTGCTGCCTGTTGCTGCCCGTGCCTGTGTTGCCTGTTGCCGCCCGTTGGTGCCTGTGCCTGTGCTGCCCGTTGCTGCCTGTTGCTGCCCGTGCCTGTGCTGCCCGTTGCCGCCTGTTGCTGCCCGTGCCTGTGCTGCCTATTGCCGCTCGTTGCTGCCCGAGCCTGTGCTGCCTGTTGCTGCCTGTTGCTGCCTGTTGCTGCCCGTGCCTGTGCTGCCCGTTGCCGCCCGTTGCTGCCCGTGCCTGTGCTGCCTGTTGCCGCCCGTTGCTGCCCGAGCCTTTGCTGCCTGTTGCTGCCCGTTGCTGCCCGTGCCTGTGCTGCCTGTGCCTGTGCTGCCCGTTGCCGCCCGTTGCTGCCCATGCCTGTGCTGCCTGTTGCCGCTCTGCTGCTGTCCGCGCCCTTGTGCGCTCTGGTCTGCCTGCGCCCTCGTGTGCTCTCCTGCTGCCCGCGCCCTCGTGCGCCCTGCTGCTACCTGCGCCCTCGTGCGCTCTGTTCTGCTCTGTCGCCCCTGCCCCCCCCCTCCCCTCCCCCCCCCCCTTCTTCGTCTCCTTGCTGCGCGTGCAGCCGTGGAACGGAGGCTATGGGGGTGGCGGGTATGGGGGTGATGGGTGTGTGTGATCCCCTTCCCCTCCTCCTCCTTTCTCTCCCACTGCTGCAGCTGCCGTTGGGGGGGGGTGGGTGTGAGGGTGTGGGGGAGCTGGGGGAGAGGTGCTAGGGTTGTCAAGGAGTGTGGAAGGGGGAGTTGGAGGACTGAGGAAGGTTCCAGGAAGCAGCCGCCTTGGAGCCAGCAGCTTCACCTGCCAGCAGCCTCTCCTCATATAGTTCCTCCTCCTCACTTGCCCTCTCCTTCTACTGCGCTTGGTGTACCCCTTCAGGGGGTGTCTCTGCATTAGCTTCTGCTGCAGGCACTTATGGGGGAGTGTGATAATATATCTGTAACTGCCTGTAGCTGTAGTTAGTGTAGTTATTATAAACTTTGTTTGGTGGTGCACCTTCTTTGTTTCCTTTGCTATATGTTCTTGCAAACCAATAGTGAAGCCACTCTTTCTCCTTTCCAACTTTCTCTAAACTCTCCTCAACACTTTCCCTCGCCCCAGCAGCTCCGTGAGTGGTACTCTCAGCGTGGGGGGTCTGGGGGTGGAGGTACCTGCCCGTACGTCATCCGCGCAGGTGACCGCACTGGCTAGACCTGTGGGAGGTTTCACACGGCGCACCGCTGTTTCTTTCGCCTCGACGACGCCTGGCGCAAGCAGTTTCCTGACCCCTCTGAGCTTCCTCGCTGGGCTGATCTGCTTAAAAAGAACATTGCTATCTTTGCTCTTGATTATGATGCTATCCTTGCTGCTATGTATGCATTGACTATTAGTGTTGAGGGTGACTGTTACCTGCGTGTACCGCCCGACCCGGGTATTGGGACCAGTGAGGCTGCAGCTCTAGGTGCTCGTACGTCTACTGCTCTAGGTCCTGGTGAGGCTGCTGCTCTAGGTGCTAGTGCGTCTGCGTCTGTTGGTACCGCGTCTACTGAGGCACTGCACACCTTCACACTGGACTCAGGTGCTTCCCGCTGTTTCTTTCGCGACTGCACTGCCCTAGAGCAGCTTCTTAGACTGGTTGCTGTCTCCCTGGCTGACCCCTCTGGAGGTCCGGTCCTTGCGACCTCCACCACTGCCCTCCCTTGTCTTGCTGTCCCGCCTGGCACGCTGTGGGGCCTTTACCTCCCCTTGTTCTCTACGAACTTGGTGGCGGGTTCCGCGCTCCAAGACACGGGTGTTCACCAGTTCACCCCTACCTACGAGCGTGTGACGCACTGCACGTGTGCCCAGATGGGTCATCACCTGGCTACCTTCACTCGGCAGCCGGGTTCGGACTTGTACACACTGACAACTAAGTCCCCTGCTGTACACACTAGACACTTGTACACACTGACAACTAAGTAGGTGCGTCTGCGTCTGCATCAGGTCAGCTGTCGGCCCCCTGCTCGTGTCGCTCCCTGTCGCACCGGACTGTCCTCTGGCACCACCGCCTTCGTCACCCGTCAGTGCAGCACCTTCGCGGCATGCACTCCCGGTACCTTGTCTCTGGTCTTCCCTGGGTTCTCCCTCCCCTCCCACCCTCGCCTGCTCCTCCCTGTCTTCCCTGTGTCGAGGGGCGGCAGCACGCCGCTCCTCACTCCTCGTCGTTCCCTCCCACAGAGGCCCCCTGCAGACTCTCCACTTGGACGTGTGGGGCCCCGCCCGCATCCGGGGACAGGGCCACGAGCGGTAATTTCTGTTGGTCGTCGACGACTACGCGCACTACACCACGGTCTTCCCCTTGCGTACCAAGGGTGAGGTCCCTGATGTTTTGATCCCTTGGATCCGCGCTGTTCGTCTCCAGCTCCGCAAGCGGTTCCAGTCAGACTTTCCAGTCCTGCGTCTGCACTCTGACAGAGGTGGTGAGTTTTCCTCTGACCTCTTGGCAGCCTACTGTGCGGAGCACGGCATCCGCCAGACGTTCATTTTTCTGGCCTCTCCGCAGCAGAATGGGGTTGCTGAGCGCCGCATTGGTCTAGTCATGGAGGTCGCTCGTACCTCCATGATCCATGCGGCTGCCCCCCATTTCTTGTGGCCGTTTACAGTGCAGTACGCCGCGCATCAGCTCAACCTCTAGCCCCATATTTCCTTTCCAGAGACCTTGCCCACACTGCGCTAGACGGGGGAGGTTGGCGATGCGTCGGTGTTCCGAGTCTGGGGATGTCAAGCCTTTGTCCGCGATACATCCGCGGACAAGCTCTCCTCCTGTGCCGTTCCGTGTGTCTTCCTTGGCTTTGTGCCTGATGCGTCTGGGTAGCAGTTTTACCACCCCACCTCGCGCCGTGTCTTCCCCTCTCAGGACGTCACCTTTCACGAGTCAGTACCCTTTTACCGTCTCTTTCCCTACCGCACTGCCCCGCTCCCCCCCCCCCCCCGCCACTCTTCCTCACCTCAAGTATCCCGCCGGTAGACCCCCTCCCTCCCCAGGGTGCTGCTCCCTCAGGTGTTTCCTAGGTAGACCCAGTCGAGCCTGACAAGGTAGCTAATGACTCTGGTCCTGCGCAAGGTGCTGAGATTGTTGAGCCTGGTGGTGCTGGGTCCAGGGGTACTGAGACTGGGGGTGCTGAGCCTGGGGGTGCGGAGACTTGGGGTGCTGAGCCTGGGGGTGCGAAGACTGCGGGCGCTGAGCCTGGGGGTGCTGAGCCTGGGGGTGCTGCGACTGGGGGTGCTGAGCCTAGAGGAGCTGAGCCTGGGGGTTCTGAGACTGACCGTACTGCGCCTGGTGGCGCTCCCTCTTCACAGCTTCAGCGCCTAGTTGCTGAGCTTGTCGACTTTGTTGCTCACTATCGTCTGGACTACGCTGCCAGTCTTGTTGTTGAGTCTCAATCTGTCTATCCTCCGTCCATCGGGGTGAGTGTGCTCTTGGCACAGACGTCCTTGAGGACAGGCAGGAGGAGTTTGAGTGCTTTGCCGCTGCTGTACCCCATCTTGCGGCCATGCTGCTTGCCTCTAAGGGAGACCCGGATGCTCTAGATATCCCGACCCTGCGCTCTTACGCTGAGGCGATCGCGGGTTAGTTCTCCTCTCAGTGGCAGAAAGCCATGGACACAGAGATGGCATCCTGGAAGTCCATTGGCACTTACGTCAACGATGTTTCCCCTCCTGGAGCGAACATCGTTAGTGGCATGTGGATTTTCAGGGTGAAGCGGCCGCCGGGTTCTCCGCCTGTCTTCAAGGCTCGTTATGTTTCTCGAGGGTTCAGTCAGCGAGAGGGAGTAGACTTCTTCCAGACCTTCTCCCCTGCCCCGAAGATGACCAGTCTTTGGGTGCTGCTGCACGTTGCCGCGCACCGTGACTATAAGCTTCACTCTCTTGACTTCAGCATAGCTTTCTTGCAAGGCAGCCTGCACGAGGAGATCTGGCTGCGCCGCCCTCCTGGCTTCACTGGGTCGTTTCCTCCTGGTACCCAGTGGAGCCTCCAGCGGCCAGTCTACGGTCTCCGCCAGGTGCCATGTAAGTGGCACGACACACTAAGGACTACACTTGCGGCTCTTGGGTTCGCGCCTTCTACTGCTAACCCGTCGCTGTTTCTGCGCACCGACACTTCACTGCCGCCGTTCTACATCCTCGTGTACGTCGACGACTTGGTCTTTGCCACTGCTGACACTAAGGCTCTCGCCCACGTGAAGTCGGAGCTGCAGAAGAGACACATGTGCACAGACCTGGGTGAGCTGACAAGCTATCTTGGCTTGCAGATCACCCGGGACAGAGCACGCTGCACCATCACCCTGACTCAGTCACACATGGTGCAGCAGGTCCTTCAGCGCTTCAGCTTCACCAGGTCCTCGGCACAGGCCACTCCTCTGGCTACAGGTCACTTGCTCTCAGCTCCACCTTTGGACGAGTCCAAAGAGCCGAGTGGTCCTTACCCAGAGCTAGTTGGTTGCCTCATGTACATGATGACTTGCACTCGTCCTGACCTCGCGTACCCACTTGGTTTTCTGGCTCGCTACATGGTGCCTGGTCGGTATCGACCTGAGCACAAGGCTGCTGCTAAGAGGGCATTGCGCTACTTGTGCAGTACATCAAGCATGGGGCTAGTGCTTGGAGGGAGGAGCTCAGCTGTTCTCACTGGGCACTCAGACGCTTCTTGGGTTGACGACCAGGCTACTCAGCGGTCATCACAGGGTTACACCTTGAGTCTTGGCTCTGGCTCGGTTTCTTGGCGTTCTACTCGCTCGTCTTCAGTTCTTAGCTCCAGTTGTGAGGCTGAGATCTACGCCACAGCCATGGCTGCAGAGGAGTTGCGCTGGCTCACCTACGTGCTTACTGACCTGGGAGAGCAGCCTCGTTCTCCTCCAGTGCTGTACGTCGACAACAAGGCTGCCATTGCCTTATGTGAGGAGCACAGACTAGAGCACAGAACGAAGCACATCGCTCTGCGTTACTTCCTGGCTCGAGAGTTGCAGCACCGTGGTCAGCTTCGCTTGTGTTACGTGGCCACTCATGCCAACACTGCTGATATATTCACCAAGGCACTTCAGTCTGGAAATCATCAGCGTTTCTGTACTATGCTAAGGCTTGTGGCCACCTTTCCTCACTTGTTGTAGGTTTGCATGTAATGTGATCCACATATATATATATATATATATATATATATCTGCATGCTTGCTTTGCTTGGTATAGATCATTGTGTTGTTTATGTTGCAAATATGCCTCTGCATGTGAACTGGCCTTGTGGCTCTTTGCTTGTGCTCAGAGAGTGTGGTGATGTTGTGATCCACCCTGAGCTTGCCTTGCCTTTCTTGACTGGTCTTGTGACCCCTTGCTCTCCCCCACTTAGCCTAT